GGGGTTTGGGGGGGGGGGGGGAACGATGCGTGGCAGGTTCCTGCAGCCTCTCCTGCCCCCCCAGCCCTGCCTGGCTGGGTGGGGGTTGTGTTAGTTCAGCCATGGGTCAGACAAACCAGTCTGGGAGCCTGAGGTGCCCCCAGGGAGGGAGAAAATGAAGCCCATGTCTGTTCAGCCAGGGTCAGGGGTGTCAGGGTTCCCTCTGAATCCCTTGTGGGAACAGTGGTCCCAGGGTCTTGGGGCATGCGCTCCCTGCTCTTGGCCCAGACACATGCATGCACTGGGGCTTCTTCTCTCCCGCCCTCCCTGACTCACACTGCTCCCCCCACCCCCCCAGCTTTCCATCGGCTGGCAGCCCTGGGGTTTCAGCGAGAGTTGAAATCAGTGCTGCAGGCTGCGTGGGGGGACATGGCTTGACCGCATCCGCCTGAGTCATCCTGAGGAGGAGGAGGGGGTTGAGGGGGCTGGGGGGAGCTGGGGTCTCTGGAGCCCTAACGGTTCCAGCTCCAGCACATTTGCCGCCCCCCCAGACTCCAGTCGATGCTTCCCAGATGTGCTGAATCCTGCCTGAGACTACAGAGTGTGTGGGGGGAGGGGGAGCTGAGCAGGGCCTGTAGGAGATGGGGGGGTGTCTGGGAGCTGGCCGGGAGCCAGGCATGGGGCTGGCTGGGGATGGGGGGTGCTGGAGCTGAGCTCCGGAAGGGGCCCCGTCCCCATTGCCTTCTCAGTGGCTGCAGCTTGATTGAAACCAGGAGGGAGCTGCAGGGCAAGCGCTTGCGCAGCAAGCATGGGGCAGGGATTCATGGAAAGAGGGGCCTAGTGGGGTGGGGTGGGGAGGGGGCGCACTGCAGGCTCCAGCCAGACTGAGGGCTGGGGCCTGGCTTCTCCTTTCTGCATCAGTTCCTCCAGGCTTCCGCAGCCAGAAGCAGAAATCCCAAAATAGCCTTAGCTGGGGGGGGGGGGGAACGGGAGCAGGGATGTCTACCTGCCTGGGGAAGCCCCTGGCCCTGCAGAGCTGCCCCCCAGCCCCAGGCACCTGGAAGGGGACTGCAGGTATGATAGGGAGCAGTGCCCCCTGGTGCCTACGAGGGAGCCCCGCACCCCCGTGGACCCTGCACCTGACTGGGAGGTGCAGGACACCCAGCCTGGAGCACCCAGGGTTACACCCCCACCCCAGCATTTCCTGGCTGAGGGGAGGCTGCAGTGGCTCTTTAGGTTCCTCGGGGGTCCCAGGAGCAGGAGCAGGGGCCTGGGCCCATTTGCACTTTTAGCAGATGTTGGTGAAATTCACAAAGTGAGTGGGAGCACCTGTGCAAGTGCAGGTGGGCGCATGCATGCTGGGGGGGGGTGTGCATGCCCATCTCCCCGTGCATGCCCGGCTGTGTCACGTGCATGAGTGGAGGCACAAGTCTGAGTGTATAAGGGCTACACGTGTGTAAGGAGCATGTGCACATGCCACTGCGCAAGGGCACAGGTGCTCCCGTGTGTGCGCAAGGGCTACTACCCACCCCTATTCCCTGCACACTCAGCTGCCTGCTAGGATAGTACCGTCTGCCCCCCTCCATGTGATTATGGTACATTCCAACTGACCCCCCCCCGCTCGGTGGTACACCAGACACCGCCCACCTCCTAAGGATGGTATGTCTCAACTCTCCCTGTGTCGCATGTGGAAATGGTTCCTCCCAGTCCGCCTCAAAAGAATGGTACGTCCCATTTGCCCCCTCTACTCTTGGCACGCTTGGTACATCCCACTCCCTCCCTATGGTACAGCCCTCCAGTTCCCCTTTCCCCTGGGCGCACATGGTACATTCCAAACCCCGCCCCGAGGAGGCGAGAGCCGCCCAACTGTCAGCCCCTGGGCAGAGAGGCATTTGGTACGCGCCGTTTACCCCTGGCGTGTGAGGTTGGTACGTCCCAACGGCAGTCCAAGCAGGTACGTTCCAAGGCTCCTTATAGACCTTTTGGGGACGTGGTATAGCCCACCCCGTCCCTAGGAAGAGGATGGTACATCCCAACTGCGTTTCCCCTGGGCGCCCCCTTGCTCCCGGCCCTCCGTGGTACGTTCTACCTTGCTTGG